ACCTACCCTCCGACTGGCCTGCTTGCCCCCAATTGTCCTCCCCCACCAGCCTGCTCGCCCCCAAATGCCCTCCCCCACCAGCCTGCTTGCCACCAAATGCCCTCCCCTGCTGGCCTGATTGCCCCTAACTGCCTCTGTCTCGGCCCCGCCACCATGAATTTGTCTGGAAGTTTGTCCGGAAGGTCTCCTGGAAGGTCTCCTGGTCTAATTAGCATATTACCCTTTTATTAGTATGGATTGCGCATCTGTAAGTACCAGACACTAGCCTCACTACTCTATCAATTCCCCCTGCACAACAGAATTTGGGGGTAGTCATCATCATCATCCCTACCTTACAAATTTATTTTAAAGCCTCAAGTTTATCGTAGATCACACAGTAAATATGTGCTATAATTAGGTTTCAAATCCCATGGGTTGCTTGTCTCCAACACCCATTGTTTTCCTGCCGTGAAGGCAGAGGACATACAGCTTGAAAGAAACCAAAATGAAATATGGCCAGAATGGACTGGGATGGAGAAAGCCTCATGGGGGGGAAGAAGGAAGTAAATACAGGAAGTAGAATGAAGTATGGAGATGCATTAAAAGAAAGACAAGCAAGTGGAGAATGAGTTTGACAATAATATTTCCATATTTGGGGAAAAGAGTTTGTATTGGACAGTAATGGGGAGAGAGTAGTGAGATAGAAGAGACCAGGTGACAGAGACCTTGAAGCAAAGAAATCTGAGTTTAAAGTGGCCATTGGTTCATTGAAACAAGACCGTCTCCTTAAAGCAAGTGTTTGAGGTAAAATGGTTTTTAGATGTTGGATAAAGAGAACAACAGAGATTTAGAGATACCAAAAAATACGTTGACTAATTCCTCCAGCAGTCCATCCGGCCAGATCCCCAGAGCCGTCCCCTCATCCACCCTCGCCTCTGGCAGAGAGAGATCGCTGGTATGTGTAAAGTGCCTTTTTCCCCTTTGCTTCCCCATAGGATATTCTTTTTTTCCTTAATCAAAACGGACCCCTCACAAATGGCATCTTCAGACAGTGCGCCAATGTGAAATTGTGCAAAGAGCTGAAGGAGAAACTGGACGCGGGAGCAGACGTGCCCCTGGACACTGAATCCATTTTCGTGATAGCGTCTGTTCTGAAGGTAGGAGTTCTCCCTCCCTCCATCACCCCACAGTGCACCTCTGGAGGAACAACTGGTTCCTTTCATTTTGACCTCATTCCCTTCTGCAAAGAGCCATAATAGATTAGAACCTAAAAGGTGTTAAAAAAAAAAGAATACTTCACAAAGTCAAGATTGTCCTTTAGAAGCCACGGCCCATGAATGGCTTGGCATGTCATGTCAGACGTACTTTTTAAGTTTTTCTATCCCACACCACTCTTCTCATCATGACTTCTGCTACCTCGTGCAAATAATTATATGTAAATTAAGTTAAATTTAAAATAATCAAAGCACATAGAGCACATTTACCAAAACAAACATCCTAGCTATGATGACTTCCTCACAATCTCACTACCTTCCTAAAAAATGCAATTCTCTCAAAAATATATTTATTAAACTTTGAAAATGAAGCTTACTATCCCAAACAAGCATCTGCCTAACAACTGACACAAACATTGCTTTCTGAGGCCCCTGAAACTTCCATTCATTGATGCAGTCATAGAACCTTCCTTGTCCCTAATGCCTTTTAAAGTGACAGTGGGGCAAGGAGTGGCTCTGGACTCGGCCTCCTTTTATAAAAACCTTTCCTGACATTTTTACGGTTCTCACCCCCACCCCATGGTTACTTAAGTCACATCCACATTTGGCTTAGAGCACTTCTAAAATGTTTTCCTCCCACATTCTTGAAAATACCTCACATTTTTGGAAAATGTAGAGTCAAAACCAGCTTTTAGCAGAGCTTTTGACCTTAGGGGTAGCTTCTGCAGACGTGCCTCAGGCTTCCGTCTCCCAGTTGGGTGGGAAGCACCAGGCCAGGGCAGAGACAAGGCCCAGCCGCATTCTGGGGCAGGAGCATGAAAACCAAGTTAAGGAAAACATGGTGAAGAAGACTCTCGCACAACCTACTCCTACCCTGTGGGGTGGGGAACTGCTTACAGAATCCTACTTCATGAATTAATGCACCGTCAGATGATTCTTGGTAAATGGGCCATGTCTGCTCTTAACCCTGCTGTAGGCTGTGCAGTAAAGAACACTCCGAAGAACTGAGGAGCTGGAGCCAGGCTCATCCAATCTGTATTGCACAGGGTGCAATTACTATGATTACACTTCAGCCCTGGAATACAATAAATATATGCATGGTGTGTGCAGTCAGATATATGTCAGGGAGATATATACTAGTATACACACACAATTACTTTTTCTTTTTTACTCATTTAATTGGGCTTTCTCCCATCTCTAAATTTAAGAAGCTAAAGCCTTTGTTTTAGGACATTTTCTCTACCGTGCTATTCTTCACAGCACACACTTCTTAAGATTTTGTGCTAAATTATTGAGGCTATTACAAGAGTTTGACTACATTCCAAATTGGAGAAGTATTACTTGTACAAAAATAAGCAAAGGACAAAATTAATCCAAATGATTGAAAAGTCTGGTTAAATAGGTTACAAGTAGTTGACATTCTATAATCATATTACTGCATTTTACTCTCATTTCTTCTAAGTGGCTGCAGGAAAGGACATACTTTTTGCCAAAAGTTAAAGTTTTTGAGCTTTTGTTTTGTTTCTTGTTTTTAAGTCTATTTGGAAGTGCTACTTTAGGTTTCCTTTAATGTTTTACTTCTGCTGGTTCTGTTTAAGTATAAGCTCAACTCTTCAAACTATAATTGAAAGAAAATTGCTTGAGATGCTGTAACTTTGATCCAACAGACCTTTGAGGGAAAGTTCATTTTTAGCCCTGCAGGAATCTCATCTCCGATGAGCCTGGTAGTCCTGCTGGTGACCAGGGCTCTGGCTGGGGAGGGCAGGAGACTCAGCTGAGTGCTGGGAGGCGGTGATTGTAATTCAGGACCAGCTCTCATAACCTTTCTCAGCTGCGATGGCGGTTGTATTTCATAACTTGTTATTCCAGCTGTGGAGAGTTCATTGAGATGTTACGACCTATTATCTTTCAAGTGTAGGTTTAAGATTTAATGATGCTTTTCTTCAAGACAGATCATAAGCATGTGTTCCACTGAGATTTAAAAAGAGTGCTATTGTCATGTCCCACTTAGAAATAACAGATTTTGCCTCTTTGAATCTGACTTAAAGTAGGTGCAGCAACTAAAATTAGCTTGGAATTATGAAAATTCAATACCTTTACCCAAAAAGAGGTAACTTTTGTCAAGACACATCTGAGTCACAAGTGTCCAGGTACATTTCTACTGGAAGATGTAATAGAACAGAGAAACATAGTATGATAGAATAGGAAGAATCAGTCCTCTTCCTGCTTATTCGCCACTCTTTTAAAAAATTGTATTGTGATAGGAGACATGACTACAAAGAGGTTTTTAAAGTTACCTTGGAATCTCAATTATACTTAGTTGGCCTTCCCTTGTCCCTCACTAATATTTGTCCGTATGCAAATAGCAACAGCTCAGTAATAACCACCACTCTGTATGGGGCTGTGCTTGGCATTGAAGTGTACAAGTAGAGAGTGAGGGTCCGCCCCTGCCCTGGAGGACTCATGAGCTGCTGGGGGAGAGACACACATAATCAGCTAACTATAACAGTGAGGTGTCACAGCCTTCATATCAGTAATATAAGCATGATATATAAGTAACAAGTTGTGTTGTCTTTTGTAAAGTTGCTAATTTGGTTTCCCAGCAATATTTAAATTGCTCAATTGCATCTTTCACCTCTTTCCATGAACTTGCAGAATGATAGCCAACCGTGGGTACAGTGCTTAGACGTGAAACTGAGTTTTCTCTGCCTAAAGTTTACTGAGGTAGATATCAGACTTTGCAAGCTTAGCTTTGTGAATGCCATGCCAAAAGCAACAGAGAGAATTGGCTTAAGACAGAAATGAACATAGGACCAGAACCAAATTTAGTTTATTTTTAAGCTCTTTCTAAAAAAAGGCCAAACAACAAACATCCTTGGCCATAAGTATATGCATTATGATCTGGTCTCACCACACCAGCCCCACCAATGGTTCAGCAGAACAGAGTCTGGAAGGCCAGAGTGGAGAATGTGCTGGGCACATGTTAATCAGTGTACACCACGCACGGGGTGCCTCGCCAGGCTCCCAGAGCCCAGTCACTGCCTGGAATGCTGTTTCTCCCCAAGTACTGAGAGCCCTTCCATGGGGAAATAGAAGGGAGAAACTCTGTCTCTAGATGGGAACTGCTCAGCAATTCCGCTGGAATATAACGTTTGAAAATAGCAGGGACTCTGTTTTATTCACTGCTCTGTCCCTAGTACCTGGTACATATGAGTAAATATGTATAGAATGATTGGATGCTGATTACATTAGGAGAGGGGAAAGGGGGATTTAGGATGACTTGCCAGGCCCTGTCACATGCTAGTGTGCTAAAATGTAAACAAACAGGCGCTTTCACCCAAAGAGGTTGTCCTGTATCTTTCCCGTCACAACCCAGACTCCGGTTGCTCCTCTGGTTTTTGCTAGAAAAATAGCCAGAGCATGTATTTCTACATGTGCACATTAGTGGAGAGTTGGCACCAAGAACTGTGTGTTCCAAAGAAGAGAAGGCTTAACTCTTTTCAACAAAATGTTTTATACTCACTCCAGTACATGTTTAGCATGAAATAATGATTTAAAGTATTTGTTTTTCCCTCTCTCTCAGGATTTTCTACGACATATTCCCACAAGTGTTTTCTCATCAGATCTCTATGATCAATGGGTCTGTGTAATGGAGCAAGGAAATGATGAAGAGAGAATAATTACAATTCAAAGGTAACTATTCTAATTTGGTCACATCTCAAAAATACTTTTTAAAAAACGTATGTTTTATAAGCTCATCTCGTGAAGTAATGTTATCCATGGGGACCAGTTAAAAACAGATTTATGCTAGACGCTGTCATTGTTATGATTGTTCTCTCCCTAATCTTAGTAACATGGCACACTTGACCCTTGTACACCTTCTATATGTCCAAATCTGAGAGGAGTTGACAAAAGCCTACTATAAACCCAATTTATGATCTTAATTTTGGTAAATATTTAGCCAGACAACCCCTTATATATCTCATTCGCCAATTGAATTCACACAGAGAAAATTTCCTCCCACAAGGGACTCACAGTCTGTTAGAGTTCACAGGTAAAGCCAGAATTACAATTGCAATTCAGTATAATCTGTGCTATAAAAGAGATACGTGGAGGAGGGCATTGTGGGAGCACTGCAGAGAGGCAGGTGGCTCTGGAAAAACATCAAGGAAAAAGGGAGTTGCACAGATGCAGTCTGATCCCAAGGCGTGCATCATCTGTACTCAGGCAAAGGAAGCTGCTGGCAGAAATAACGCCCCCCTCCCCATCCCCTCCATATTCCCTGCATTATAAGGGAGCAAGAAAGAAGTGTCCATCAAAAAAGCAATACTTCCAGTTCTTTGAAAATCCAAAAATCCCAATACCATTTTTTGTATATGCTTCTTGAATACAGTTTTTTTCTCAAACAATTTTAAAACATAAGTTATTATCTACATCCTGCTATTGATAGACATCCCTTGTCTGTAGAAAAACATGGTACAACTGTTGGAGACAGAAAGCGAAACCTTGTCACAAAATACTCTCTGCTTCCATTATGGTTTGGTGGAAACCATCCAGAGATAGTGAAGATTAGATTCTGTGCTTATGGCTCATTGTCTAAAACTTTACACCTTACTGTTAAGGATGATTTCCTTAAAAAAAAGGTAACACTATGACTCTCATACAAATATAAAATGAACACATGTAAAAGATTTCATTTAAATCATTAATTAATGAGAGAACTGATAAGATATTGCAACCAGTTCAAAGGAGATTTCAAACTACCACAACTTATGTAGTTGAATCAGAAAAGAATTTATAAATAGATACAAAACTGGCTTCCTCTACTGAGGCATTGAGGGGTAGTGAGAGAGCACAAATAAATCATTTGTCTCTTGACCAGGCAGAATTTTCGATTCTATGAGCAAGTCTTAGGTGCACCAGTAACTGTCATCAATAACTTAGAGTTTGTAGGGTTAACTCAAAGGCTTAAGGCCCCCGTAAAACCAGGTAACCCAGGGAGTGTGCTAGACAGTGTCTCGCTTTCCACTGAGCACACTCAGTAACCTTTTGGTCTGTTTCAATATCTTTCATCATTTGTCCCTATAAACTACACTCATTGTGAGTTCATTGTACTGAAGAAATGCCTCTGTTGTTTTTGCAACAGGAATCAGACTAATTTTCTCCTCTTGGTTGCAGATTCTGTTTTAAAAAGGCAACAACCGTGATATCAGCATATAAGTTTTCTGGATGGTAGTAAATATCATTTTCAGTGAATGATCATTTAAAAACCTCTTATCATTTACAAAAGGAGAATAGTAGGAAATAGACTATCATAAGCTTGACTTACATGTGAAAGTGATACCAGTGAGATGAGACTCGGGACAGACTGACTTTGGAAGCTAGTGAACAGAGCCCAAGCTCTCAGAATGCACTAGGCAGCCTTAATAGCTCAAGTCTGGGCTCCCACCAAGAGGTACACTTGGGAACAAAGGAGCACTTTAAGTTTAATGGTTGTTGAGTTTCATCAGAAAGATTTTGTGGGGTTTTGGTGGAGAATATTCTGAAATGTTACAGGATTAAACTAAAATACATTACATTAGTTTCAGGTAAATATTTTGGGAGCATTTTTAGGGAGCCATTTTTGTGCAATTTTTAAATTTTCATTGAGTTGTGAAGACAGTGTACAAAACAAATAGCCCAATCCCCAGCCTTGTTTTCTCCCCTCCTGTACAGGCAGTGCTCACTTTGCATGGTACCATGTTAACTGAAACTCCTGCAGGTCTGGACTGTTTTGCTTTGCATGAGGAATTCATGGAAAGTGAGGGTTGCCTGTTTATACAAATAGTTTATGAAATGTCTTGCTTAAAGAGTGCATTTGTTTCCTGTCTTCAGGCTGTTGGACCAGCTTCCGAGAGCCAATATTGTTCTTCTAAGGTACCTTTTTGGGGTACTACACAACATTGAGCAACACTCCTCATCCAATCAGATGAACGCGTTTAATTTAGCGGTGTGTATCGCTCCGAGCATTCTTTGGTCTTCTACTACCTACAGCCCAGAATTAGAAGGCGAATTTACAAAAAAGGTAATGAAGTTTTTCATGTTTATGCCCTGGGAGACTGAGTCCCCATTTTGAACCCAAAATTCAGGGTATTAATTCTGAAAGACATTTTCTTAAAAGAACATACACTTGGGTTCATTCATTGTTTTTTCCTATCCTGGTAGACGATAGAAAAGTGGTTTCTGACGCAGAAAAGTGCTAGCAGTTGGCTTAGTTCTCTTTTCCCTTGAAAGAGGCAAAAAACTGTGACTGACTTCAACCACAGTATGATAAGCACTTGATTTGAGAAAACAAACAAGAACTTTGAAGTTAGACAAGCCAGGGTTCAAGTCTCAGCCCCACACGTGCCAGAAGTACACTCCTGGGCAAAATGAGTTACACTGATCCAGCTTCTCCTCGGGAAAGTGGTGGTGGTGATAACACCTCGCTCATAAGGCGGTCACTTGAAACCACACCCCTGAGGTGCCTGGCGCACCCACCATTCTGCTTGCTCCTCGGCTCAGCTGTTGGGGCAGGGAAACTACAGCCAGACTCCACAACAGCTCCGTGGAGGCAGAAAGCTCCCTGGTGCAGTCTCACCTCTTCTGCCAGAGCCTTCCATTAGGGAGCCTGCGGGAAGGAAGTGCCTAGGGAGAGACCAGTGGGGCAAAATGCAAGTTTTCTCTCCAGCTGTCTGTCTCCTTCACAGTCAACCCATAGAAGACGCCCTCTTCCCAGACCCATGACAACTGCCTCATACATAAGAAATACACTTCATATGTCTGTCTAGTGATGCTTTACGGGCTTTAATCACAACGTATATTTCTTCACCCCAAACACTGTGGAGAATATATAAAACTACCCTAATTTTAAAGACAGAACCATTGGGATGACAATGTTAGCATTAAGCCAAGGCCACAAATAATAACTTTAGTCCACTGATTAAAATGTATTTCTATCCCTAAATTTCTAGGGGAAACTCTTCGTATACTTTTAAAACAGACATGATTTTTTCCCCCTCAGGATTCTTTTGCATTTTTGTTGAAATCAGCACTCATATATTAAGTATGGTTTATAGATATGCTGTATGGAAAGTGGCACTTCAATTTTGTCCCTTTTTGTACAGGTTACTCTGCTTATTCAATTTGTGATTGAAAATTGCTGTAGAATATTTGGAGAAGAAATCACTTCCCTCTTTGGAGAGGTGTCAGTGAGGTGTGACATTAGAGAGAATACCTCAGGTATTGTGACTAATTGGATTGTTTTCCTGTGAGAAACAGACACGTGTCTGTGAAGGTGGTGGGACAGTGGTTGTCCTGGATCCCACAGCAGCTCCAGTGAAGGGAGCCACTGGCCTGGGTCAGTGGGCCTCGGGCTTCTTCCTTAGAAGGCCTGCTGGGGTTCACGTGGATAAGATGAGATCCCCAACTTCAGGAACCTGTTAGCACTTGATGGTGTTAATCGTTTTTGTAAACAGAACTTTACAAGGAATGCTAATACACATCATAAGACTGGCGTTAAACCTGGAGCAGAAGGCCCGGAGGCCGCAGAAGCGGCCGGGCTTTTTCTCTCTCCCCTTCCTCTGCGTCCCTAGGACACTCAGGATGCTGGTGACTCTAAAACCGTTTCTAAGCAACAGCATCCAGACTGTGAAGTCCTGTACCACCAATGACCTTTGGTCAATTATTCTCTGCCACTGAACATAGATTCTGTATCTATAAAATACGGATACCCATAATCCTAACTTTTATGGTTGTTTTAAAGATTAAATAAATAATGGATATTAAAGAACTCTATCAAAGAGAAGTTGACAGGGTTAGTAAATGGTTGCCCTGAGAGTGAATTCCGTGTATTCACCAGCAAGCCACGCAAGAAGGCAGTCTCATTCGGAATCCAGGTGTACTTGGCATTGATTCCTTTATTTTTTTGTATCATTTCTCGGTATTATGACATGTCTCTTTGCTTTGAGGAAATCTTACTTAGGGAAAGCCCATTTCTTTAGGAATTGAGATAAATCTAGTACACCCAAACAATTTTATTTTGTATTCTGCACTGACAAATTGAGAGATTGTGATTAATTGTGATTAAAAATTGAGGATTTTTCCTTAAGTATAGAAATTTGAAAAATCTACATGAAAAGAGAATTAAACTAAGCATCACAGGTTTTGCCGTTTTAGGCAGCATGCACTTGGAGTATTTAACAAGGTTATCATGCTTTGATTTCCCGCAGATATCTCTTGCTTACAAATGACCGACTCCTCCTATGACAGCTTGGAAAACGAGCTGAATGAGGACGTTGACGCTCCGTGCAGTGACCTGGTGACAACCCTCGGCCAGGGGAGCAGAAGCATGGACTCCGTCCTCACCCTCATTGACTGTGACCCCGACCAGCCCGAGCTGGAAGGTCTTTTAATCCTGAGCGACTTTGACTCAGACAATCCTAAACATGAAGACATTCAAATGGAAGGGCCTCTCGAATCCAAGCCGGTGACTGTCCCAGGACTGTACGGAGAGGCCAGCCTGCAGGACCATGGCGGGGCCCCGTCTGGCGCCGCCACACCCAGCTACCTGACCACGGCTGCAGCAGATGCTCCGAAAAGCCCGCGGCGACAGCGGCGCTGCTCCGAGCCCAGCATCGACTATCGAGATGCAAAGCTGTCCTCTTTCCGGGAGTTTTGCCAGAAAAAGCTGCGCAAGTCCAGCTGTGATGCAATTCTCTCACAGAAAGGTGAGGACCATCTGAAGCAAAGCGAACCCCCACAGGAGGAGGGTAAGATGTATTTTAAACAGGCTCTAGTCACAGGCACCGATATCAAGAAAAATGCCTCAAATAAAAATGCTAAGAAGAAGGGCTTCTTTGGTATGGAAGGAAGTCACGTGAAGCGCCCCCCGCCCTCAAAGCCAGTGGCCATTTCTGTGGCATCTTGCAATTACATGTCCTCACATGATTGTCCCAGGAGCCAGCCCTTGGATGCAGACACACCTGGACACGCCCCGCCACACGCAGCAGATGCCCCCAAGAGTTCCAAGAGGCACCGGCGCTGCTCAGAAACCAGCATCGACGACCAGCGCTCCAAGCTGAGCTACCTCAGGGGCATTTTCTCAAGGAAACACAACAACACCAGCTATGAAGTACGCCCCTGGTCTGGAGAGGAGCAGTATCTCCAGCAGCACAAGTCTTTACAATTGGAGGGCCAGAAGCTCATTAACCAGAGCTTGGTCATGGGGATCGAGGTGGGCAAGAGCGGTGCCACCGACCAGAACCCCGAGAAGCTTTTACCCTCAAAATTAAGCACCTGCCCCAGGACGAGCTGTTCTAGCTTGTCCTCCCCAGGCACCTCCCCATCTGGCTCCTCAGTGAGCTCCCAGGATAGTGCTTTCTCTCAGATTTCAGAGCATTCCGTGTTTACACCCAACGAAACGTCCTCCCCAGTAGATTGCACTTTTCAGGCCCCAAGCCAGCAGGGAGAACCGTCCGACTCCAGCAGCTCCAGACTCGCTTCTGGAGTGCCTGGTCCCGCCTCTGAGCAGGCCAGCAGCCGCCCGGCTTATTCAAAAAAGGACACCTTAGAGCGGCATTCACAGATGCATTCTGTGACCCTTCATCCCAGCACATGGTTAAGAAATGGTATGGCCAGCTTGAAGAACTGGTCCCTCAAAAACAAAGCCAGGGCAGCCAGAGCAGAGGGAAAGAAAATATCTTCTCTGCCAGGGCCCGCAGAGCCACCTCCCCATGCTTCTGGGGCTCCAGAAGCCAACCCACAGCAAGAGACACAGAAAGACAAGCCCCCGACGGTACCTGCAGGACTTGCAGCTGCGCTGATAGCCCAGCGGGACACCTCCGATCCCAGCCATGTCTCCGAGCCATGTGGTAGCTCTCCACCCAGCCCAGTGGACGGCACATTGGAGCTTTGTCTGAAGTCACAGGAGGAAGAAGAGAGTAGCAGGCCGTGCTCTCCTGGCACCCCGCCGTGTGCAATATCCTTGCCCTGCTCTTTGGTTATAGATGATGAGTCCGGCCCAGACTCAGGGCCTGCAGCAGTGTGTGATGTTGAGGACAAACATTCAACCAAAGACATTTTACCACAAGAAGAACCTGATGTCTAGAAGAACAGGAAGAACAGAAAGTGGCCTAATAACATCAAGACAATATTCATTATGACCCCTTTGTGTAAAGTACCTGGAATAGGTAGCATAAAGATAATTATTGCTAATACTTAGTACAATAAAATAATTCTCTTTACTAAGACCATGTGGCAAGAAGTTTTACTACAATTTTAGAGATACTAGAAGAGTTAGAGAAAGTATCTTCTTTTTTTTTCTTTTTTTTAACTTTATTGAATTTATTAGGCAACATTGGTAAATAAAATTATATAGGTTTCAGGTGTACAATTATATAATACATCATCAGGCTATTGTATTGTGTGTTCACCACTCAAAGTCAAGTCTCCTTCCATCACCATTTATCTCCCTTTGCCCTCTCCTATCACTCCCCACCCCCTTTCCCTCTGGTAATCACCATACAGTTGTCTGTGTCTATGAGGGTTCTTTGTTGTTTGTTTTTTCTTTTTTGGGGGGGTGGGGTACTTAATCCCTTCACCTTTTTCACCCAGCCCCGCAACCCCCGTAACCTCTAAGAGCTGTCAGTCTCTATGCGTCTGTTTCTATTTTGTTTGTTAGTGAAATCATGTGTACTTGTCTTTCTCTGACTGGCTTATTATTTAGCATAAAAAGGAAGCATGCATTATATCAGGTTAGGCTCCTGAGAAGGCCATGGTATCATTAGTGAAGCATGGAGATTATGGGGAGTGGGGAAGGGTGCAGACAAACAATCCACACTCCATGGAATGTGTTCAATAAATAAGCAAGAAAAATGCCACTAATCAAAGTATTGGGAAGAAAAGCACGCCCAGTAATGAAGGAAATCAGGTGAAACATTTCCCTTCATCCAAGTCACTGGCCATTTCTGTGACTTCTAGAGTCACATGTCCTCACAGGATCATTCCAGAAAGTAGCCCATGATGCAGCTAGACTGGGGAAAAGGAGAGTGGCTCAAGAGCCATGAGTATCATGATGCCATTTTTTTGTTGGTTGTGTTGCTTGATTCATTGTTCCATTAGCACCGCTTTGCAAAGGCTCCAGTGAACAGCTGGGCAGAGAAAGACGGAAATGTCGCTCATCTCAGTGTTCTTTACAAAGGGACCTGTGCTGGGAGCATTCTCCAGAAACACAGCTTTTCCTGTGAGAAGGTGACCTGAAAGCACTCGTTACCTGAGGGTGGGGGAAACTGCAAAACAGTCTTTTCTCTGTTACACGAATGCTGTTGCCAGCAGGTTGAAAGCCAGGCTCCTCTGCCGAGATGGTTTTCTGCAGCCCCGCCTCTTAGAGTAGTCAGCCAGAAAACATTGCTGATAAGTCATCCTTTTTCTGATTATCATTTGGCCATAGAGAGAGCAATTTTGAGTTTGCTAACTTATGAAGAGTTGCAGAATAGAATACCCAGCAAAGTGGCTATCGGGCCTTCTCAATCACTGGCTTTGGATTTTCCTACCTCCAGGAGTTTTTATATACTTTTGTCCCAAATGACTCATGGTTCACAGAGAGTGTATACCCCACCCCATTGGTTTATATCCATGCACACCTCTCTCTTGCCTTAACGTGACACTGGTACATCTCCTGGATTAACTCCATTGATTATTAGATCTTGCCAGCCGGTCTGGAGGGATAGAGTCAGGAAAGGATGTGCATCGTCCTTCATTTCAACTTGATACTTATAAGAAGCTGCTTAGAACCCACTGGGTCTCTTTAGTCCACCATCAAATGGACCTTTCTCCCAAAAACTAGCTTATTTCAAACTATATTTCTGAGCCACTAGGAAAATTTATGTTAAGTGTTCTTTTCCTGTTGTCCTAAATGTTGCATTTTTTCAGTTAAAGGGGGAAAAATGTTTTCTGGTGGCTCTGGCCAGATAGTTCCATTGGTTAGAGTGTCGTCCTGATATGCCAAGGTGGTGGGTTCAGTCCCCAGTTGGGGCACATACAAGAATTAACCAATGAGTACATAAATAAGTGGAACAACAAATCAATGTTATTGATGTTTCTCTATCTATCTCTCCCTCCCTCCTCCTCTTTCTCTCTCTCTCTCGCTCTCTCTGTCTCTCTCTCTCTCTCTCCCTTCCTCTCTCTCTAAAGTCACTAAAATAAATAAAAATAAAATGTAAGGTATAACAAGTCTTTTCAGTATTAGCTATTGGTGCTACCTACCTCTGGGGTACATGGCCCTATTTGCCCTTAGCATTATAATTAGCTTTTATAACTCTGGGTCCAAAGAACTCCTTCATGACACTGGCCATCTCCCTCACAGGTGTGACGTAGATTCCACTTTGTCCTATAGCTAGACCTCTAAGTGTCCACATGCATTTTTTGCAATATATAAAGGCAACAGGGATCTCCCTTACCCCGAGGGCAAAACTACTGTTGGAACTGCAAGATGTGAATGGAGCTCTTCCAGCTTGGAGTGTCTTTCTGGAAGACATTTCTTCTCTACTTAAGAGAACATTGGTTCTAGCCTTTATATATATGTTGATGAGTAGAAAATCACCCACCCAATTTGAAGAATAGAAGGAAATAGATACTGAGGTTCTTAAATAATTATTTCCACGCTTTTTTCCCTTAGATCCTCCTGTAAGACTTAATGTAAATAGTTTGTTAATATGGCTGTAAAGTATTATATTGTAAGATTTGAAGAACGTCATTTTATGATACTCTGTTAATCTATAATATATGAGACTCATGCTTTATCTAAAATGTTTTGAGTTTGTATATCTTGACAAATTTTACTATCCTGTTATGTAATAAATGTGTATTTTTGTACTTGCAGAAACTGCTGCTAACTTTTAAAGTTGTTTGATTTTCAAGGCACTGATAATGGATATGTATGAAGTCCATGCTGTCTATTAAATAAAATACCATTCTCCAACCTTAACAATCTCCCCAGAGCAATGTTCCCTTTGTAGAATTGTTCTAGTTAATGAGCCCAATTTCTACTTACCATTGGAAATTTCATAAAATGCTATTCATGTAGAATTGAACTTTGAGCTTTTAGTCATAGGCCATGGTTAATCTTTCCAGAGGGGGAAAATAAAGCTTTTCTATTTTTCTAATCTTACCATTTACCAAACAAGTCATGCTGTAGGCACAGTCTTCATTTGTTTAAGCATTATGTTTTCCTTGTGCTCCTGGAATGTCCTTATTCTCATATCAAAAGAACCATCAGCTCAGTGTAATTGATGGTATGATATTTCCTTACCTGAATTTAAATCATAATTGACCAGATTGACCAAGTTGCTCCCAGACACTCAGGACCTGAGGGCTGCTGAGGTCATATAAACGTTATCACTGGTTCCTCAGGACCGCGGCATCTTTACTTGTCAGAGTTCATTGGGGTTCACTCTGTGTAAGTTTAACCACCATTTCAAAGAGATGCAAGAAAAATGTAATTAGTACAGAAAAATTATTTGTATAACAGCACTGAAGACCACACCCCACTGTCAGAAATGCCACTGATGAGGTGCAGGCACTGTGCACATACACTGATGCTAATTTCCCCCTAAATGTTACAGAAATACAAAGGTTACTGTAAAAAGGGAGCCTTGATGTACTAAAAACATTGGATTCAAGAAATTTTCTCTCATTGTGTTTTTCTACTTTTCATGGCATGCCATTGAGTTGAAAAGATCTAATGTTTCCTGGAACCAATGACATATTTCGCTTGTTGGAAAAAAAACTCTAAGTACAGTATGTATCTTAAGCCAAATTGTGGTAGTAAGTGTTTAACTTATCTTTTCCTACCTGGTCATGTTTTAATGACATAAGAGAAAGTCTTTGCAAACTGCTTATTTCAATACTAAGGAAAAAACTGAATAATAAAAGTTGAGTAAAATGTTAACTTTAACATCTATTCTGGTTATGAGGATATCTTGTAAGCTAAGTTTTCTGCTGAAAGAAAGAATAGTGCTGCCCTGGCCAGTTTTTCTCATTGGTTAGCGCAACAGCCCTCAGACCCAAGGCTCACAGGTTCAATTCCCCACCCCAGTCAAGGTGCGAGAGGAGGCAACCAATCAATGTGTCTCTCTCCCTCCTCACCCTCCCTTCCACTCTCTCTAAGAGGCCAATGGAAAAACTATCCTTGGATGAGGGTAGAACAAAAAAAGAATACCGCTGAATTCTGTGTGCTATCTACCCCGAGTATGAGTCCTCTGTTTCAGAGCCACCTGTGAATATAAATCCTTCATTTGTATTGCTGTTGTTTTAAACACAGTGGCCTCCTTGAGCTTCAGGTCTGCATCTGTGTGGTGGAATTAGAAGATGGCTCTGAAGTGTAGTTTGGAAATTTTTGTTTTGAAATCCCAAAAAAAGATACACAGAGGATGATATTAGATGTAGAGTGTTACTTAATTTGTACAGTGTTATTGCTCAGCAACAGAGCACGCATACAATTTTTAGATAGTTCAATGTTGTTTCTAACCTACTTAATTTGTTAAGGCAAAGTAACTAATTTTCTGGAGTTCGATATTACATGGCAATGTATGGTGCAGATTTGGAAGACAGTAAGGTTTAAATGCTAATGGTTTTTATATAGGTTTTATTTTACATTACAGTAATTTGGAATTAAATTTAGCACTTCTCCTTGCAGCCTCTTGATCTACTACGAGGAGTGAGTAAATTGGATAAAAAACAGTATTTGTGCTAAGCGAAATAAGCCAGTCAGAGAGACAAGTATCACATGATCTCACTCATATGTGGAATCTAAAGAACAAAATAAACTAATGAACAAAATAGATCCAGAGACATAAAAGCGTGGGACAGACTGATGAATTTCAGAGGAAAGGCAGAGGTGGGTGGGTGGGTGGGTGGGTGGGAAGAAATTAACCAAAGAACTTGTATGCATATATGCATAACCCATGAACACAGACAATAGTGTGGTGAAGCCCTGGGGTGATGGGGTACGGGCCTAGAAGGGGCTAATGGGGGGAAAAGGGGGACATCTCTAATACTTTCAACAATAAAGATTTTTAAAAATCCAAAACAAAACCAAACAAAAAAACACCTGTATTTGTGAGGTAGGCCTATTACTCTCAGTAAGTAAAATGGATGCTATAAAGGGATACTTCTTTTCTGGCAGGTTACAGGGCCTG